GGGGGTATTAACTGGTCTAAAATAAATAATTAAGCAGCTATATTCACATAATAAATAATAGCTCGAATTGAATTCCACCGAGACGAGAGTGCCCTGCTTTTCCTCGTCTTTCCACTCACTTTCTTCATATCTCTCTTTTCTCTCTCATTGTATCTCTCACTTTGGGTTCCATGGCTTCAGCTACTTCCGTCATAGCCTGGTCATTACTCTCTCTCTAAACCTCTTTGTTTTCTCCATTACTGTTGAGTCTGTTTCTGACTTGCGCCATTCATTACTCCTTCGTTTGATTTTGTTGTTGTTCAGGGGCTCTGGAGAAGACGGGCAACTAGGACTTGGAACCGATGAAGAAAAGGAATTGGCTTCCGTCGTCGAAGCTCTTGAGCCTTTCAACGTTCGCTCCGTCGTCGGTGGTAGCCGCAATTCCCTCGCCATTTGCGATGATGGCAAGGTTACTTACTTATCCAATTCACTTTCTTTTTCTTTGTCCTTGTTGTTTCTTCTTTTGGTGGGTTTCGTCTAGTACTAACTAAAGTTCAATGCTTTGCTTTGATTTCCGATTTTGATTCTAAGCCATGTCTTGAACATTTTCTTAGGTCGGGGTTTTTGAGATCTGTAGGGACCAATTAATAATAAGGGTTTAAAGTTCGTATTTTTTTCTTGTTCTCAAATCCAACTACAAATGCAACCAAGCTGTTTGTTTGAGTTTACTCTCGTATTGATCATCAGACTCTGGTTCTGGTATCCATGGTGTATAGTTTATGATTGGTTTTGATTCTTGTCTTGTGTCACCAACATATAGAAATAATAACATCTCTTTAATGGTTTCCCAGCTGTTTACATGGGGTTGGAATCAAAGGGGTACATTAGGACACCCTCCAGAGACAAAAACAGAAAGCACCCCTAGTCTAGTTAAGTCTCTAGCCAGCGTCAAGATTGTTCAGGTAAAACAACTTGCAAATCTTAAGTATTTTTGTTATTCGCTTTAATGCTATTTACTCTGAATGTGGTTTATGTAAATGGATCATAGGCAGCTATTGGTGGTTGGCATTGTTTAGCTGTTGATGATCAAGGCCGAGCATATGCTTGGGGTATGCATTTTCTCTCAGCTTCTTTTCTATTGATTCTGACCTTAATGCTCTTTAAAGTGACAACAATTGTGCACCTTTTTGTTATAAAACCTACTTAGGTGGAAATGAATATGGACAGTGTGGTGAAGAGCCTTCCAAGGATGAGACAGGTAGGCCTGTGCGGAGGGATATTGTAATCCCTAAGCGTTGTGCCCCACAACTTACTGTCCGACAGGTAATTTATGCTGTTTACCTCTCTTCGTTTACCTCAAGTGTTAATTCTTTTTTTTTTCCGTCTAAACCATCTGTTCTCGGGTTTGTATGATTAAAATAACAGGTAGCTGCAGGGGGTACTCACTCTGTGGTTCTAACCCGTGAAGGTTATGTATGGACTTGGGGTCAACCGTGGCCTCCCGGTGACATGTATTAAACCGAATTTCCTTTTATTTATAGATATGACATTTGCATTTTCTTGTCCTTTGTTGGTAAATATGGGTTTTCCTGTAATTCGTGCTATCGCAGAAAACAAATATCTATTCCTGTCAGAGTTCAGGGTCTTGAAAATGTTCGTCTGATTGCTGTTGGAGCATTTCATAATTTGGCTCTGAAAGAAGATGGGACTTTGTGGGCTTGGGGCAATAATGAATATGGACAACTTGGAACTGGAGATACACAACCAAGATCTTTTCCGATTCCAGTCCAAGGCCTTGATGATCTCACTTTGGTATGTGGTATAAAAGTCCTGGTTTAAGCACTCATCATTATAACTGATGCCTTAGATATTTAAACTATAAAGGCCTATGTTAAAGCCCAGTGTCTACTATATAAGCTTAATTCTCTCCTCTAAATGCATCTTAGGTTGATATCGCTGCGGGTGGATGGCATTCAACAGCTTTAACCAATGAAGGAGAGGTATTAGAACTCATACAGTCTCCTACTATTCTAGAGTCTCACCTTTTATTTCATCTGGCTCTTGATCGAGTCATTGCTGGGTTGTTTCTGAGCTTGATGTAGATCTTTACTGTAAAAATGTTGTAACTTGGTTATATCCAATATTAGGTGTATGGTTGGGGAAGAGGAGAACATGGAAGGCTCGGATTTGGTGACAATGACAAGAGCAGTAAAATGCTTCCGCAGAAAGTTAATCTCTTAGCTGGAGAAGACATCATTCAGGTAAAAAGTACAAACCACGAGTTCTCGACTCTTCTCATAGCTTTGAAAGCTCTAATTGTTCTTTTTTTTCTCAGGTCTCTTGTGGCGGAACTCATTCAGTCGCTTTGACAAGAGACGGTAGGATCTTCTCGGTAAGTCCTCTTAGAGAGTATAAAACATTGTTGGTTATAAACCCAAAGTCAATCTCTAAACCTCTCTTTTATATTGACGTGTATGATCAGTTTGGTCGGGGAGACCACGGTAGACTCGGGTATGGAAGAAAAGTGACTACGGGACAACCATTGGAGCTTCCTATAGACATTCCACCCCTAGAAGGACGGTTCAATCACACCGATGAAGAAGACGATGGAAAATGGATAGCTAAACATGTAGCTTGTGGTGGCCGACACACTCTAGCAATTGTGGAATGGAAGTTTGATCAAGAGGGAACAGAATAACCATGAAGAAGATAGAGAGAGCAAAAAAAAAAATTACACAAGAGGGACTCTGGAGATAAGCATTTGTTATAGAGAAAAGGGGAGCAAAAGCATATGGTTAAGCTTTTGACACTCCCATGAATGATGAATCTATATCAAAAAGAGGAAGAACTAATATATAATATCATCATGATTTTGTTTTTGATTATATATAAATAGATTGAAAAAGAGAAGCAAAGAAGAGGAACCTTTGACAAGTTGGTTTAAACCTTTATTGATTCTCTTGGTTGAAAGGTTTTTCAACAACCTTTGACAAGATGAGGAACACAAATAGGGAAGATGTACTTTGATTTTCTTGCTTGTCTTTGTCTTGTTCTCACCCACGAGAAACATCCAGTTCCTCTCTTCTTCTTCTTGGTCTTCTCTTCTTGTTGTTCTCCTTCTTCATCTTCTTTACTAATATCTTGTTTCTCTTCTTCTTCTACTTCTTCTTCTCCTTCGTCTTCCTCGTTGCTCATATCTTGCTTCTCTTCTTCTTTTTCTTTCTCTCCCAACTTCACATCCTTCAAAGCTCAAATAACTCTTCATTAACATGTAATATCTTGAGAACAACAAGACTTAGATATATGATATAGATTTAGACTTATTTTCCTTACAATTTAAGAACTTTTTTTGGTCTTTTGGCAAATATATCTACAGTTTCATGTCCAAACGTAAATCATCTATTTTCTTTCTCAAAAGTAAAACTACACGTAAAGTTGGGGACCGGTGAGACTTTGTGAAACAAACTTCTAAAATCTCTAATCGAGTTTGAATAAAATGCGATTGCTATCTTTATAATATCAGTGTCTTATCAAGTATACAAAAACTTACTCCAAAATAACAATGTTACGCGTATGAAATTATTAATCATTAGAGTGACTATAACTGTATTGTATATAGATAAATGTTTACATAGAAATACAGAATAAGGATGGTAGTCACGTGAGTTGGAGACAAAATCATGAAATGGGGCCTAATGATATATATTTTCAAGAAATACGGTTTTTGTGTTTCTATGATTAATACTCTCCCATATAGACGGTCATGTGTACTATGTTTCATATATCATGAAAGAATCTTAAATCTTAAAATGAACCATGTAACATATCTACAAAAACAATAATAGAAGAGTTTTATCATTGTCTCTTTCCATGAAAACATTTGGTACTATCATTTGCTTGATGCTTTTCTTATCTTGCGAAAGAATATCTAATTATTGATGCATATGCACGAACAATTCAAAATTTTATGCAATTATTATTTGTCCGTACCTTTCAATTGCATGGACCTCATGCTAGCGACTAAATAAACATTTCAAACTTTTTAGTAAAGTTTTCATTTTTGTTTTCTAAATTATAACTTTACCAAATTAATAGAATTTAATTTTTCGATTCGATATTGTTTTTCCTTAATATTTTGGGCTACGATAAATATTACTGGATTTTAAATCAAACACAAAAAAAAAAAAAAAAATGAATAAATTCATTTTGATATATTGATAAAATATATACCTCTTGTTGACCTTTCAGTTTGAGATTGAAGTCCAGTGGCGGATCATCAGCTTCCACGTGTCGTTTCAACGGCCTTTCCATAATCGAAGGCGTCTTTGCCGGACTAGGGCTACCGGAGCTAAGATCCACCGACGTCGTACTCTGTATGCCCACATCTCGCTTCACCCCCACAACTTTCTTTTCTGCTAATAAAACCCCCAAAGTTTACTTTCCGTCAGAAAAAACCCAATCAAGAAAGCAAACAACAATCAATTACCTCGAGCAAGAAGTACAGGATCAGGAGCATAAAGATCCTCGTGAATAACTCTAACGTTAGGATTATTATTTGGTTTGTTTTGACCAATATTATTCATCAATGGATTGGGATTTGGGAAGTGTTGAAGAGGAGCAGACATGGTGGATAAGTTTCTGAAGGATCTTGCACTTAATGTTTTAGCAGACAAACACTCCATTGGAACTTCTCCAGACAATGGATTGCAGATATATTTCTCTGCTTCGTTCCACTTCGAATTCAATGCAAACCCTTCTTGCGCTAACCATTCTCTGTTATTGTACATTGTCTTTGCTTGTAATGCTGCTACAAACAAAATAAATAAGACAAAACACTTATTGAACATTACTTTTGTTCTGTCGAGCTTTCTAATGGTAAAAAGAAAAAAATTACCTTTAAGTGCATAGGTGAAGGAATATGTTGATGGGTCAATCTCTTCTGTGATAAAAAGATTTGAAAATTCATAAAAGTTTCAGAAGAAATAATTCTCATGAAGTTACTGAGATAAAGAGAGAGAGAGAGAGAGAGAGGTGAAGTTTATCAAACCTTTGAGAGTGTAGCCAGGAGAAGAGGCAGTACTAGAGATGTTGTTGAAGTTTGTTCTAAAAGAAGACTTGTGATGATCTTCTCGGAAGCTTCCAATGTATGAAGCAGAGAATCTTCTTGAAGTCGGGTTTTCGCGGATTAATCGAGCTCTTCGATCCCATTCTCTTAGGTTCATAAACTCAGGCTCATCTCCTCGCAAAGCCATGGAAACGAGATGTTTCTTCTTTCTTTTTTGAAAAAGCAAAAACTTTTGAGCCAAGGAGGGAGAATGAAGCAATCAGGCAGCACCTATAAAAAGACACTTTTTCTTTTTGAAAAAACGATTTATTTTTCTACCTTATCTTTTTCAAAAGTTTTTATTGGTTACTCATATTTAAATTCTTTGTTTTTTTTGACAGATTTAATATATAAACTAGAATATATAGAGGTTGTTAATCAAATTGACTGCTTGCCATGTAGTTTTTAAAATACAGTATAGCAATTTTGTTTTTTCTTGGGTGTAATCCATTTATAGGAATCAAACTCACTTGGCATTTTCTGATATTTTGTAGTACTTTTTTAAAATATGGTCCTTCTTTCTTTTCAAAGTTTTGACAATTCTTTTATTAACATCTTTTTGAACTACTTTTAATAACTCGATCCAGTTTGAGTATTAGCTTAATTAAACAAATTATATTGAATTAATTTCTTAATGATAGACACCAAATGCAAAAAAAAAAAAATGAACGAATTGTCAAACATTGGTCATTTGGAAACTCAATACTGTTGTTAGAAATGTATTATTTCAATATAAGCAAAAAATTTAGAGTGACAGTAGAATGTATTACTGGTACACACTATTTATGAGTTGAAAAAAATGGCACAGATTTTGGAAAGGTGGACACAGGATCTTTTATGAGTGGTTAATAACCACATGTGATTTCACCAAATATAATATTGTTCAACTGATATGAAATGTTGAAATCCTGATGTAAATAAAAATATTAAACAATCTGATAGAAAACGACTTAATACTAACTTTAGTTGGTCGATACATTAAAGGAAAAGTAATGCAAACTAGTTTGACTTGTCGTAGTTGCAACTTGCAAGTGTGTTTTTCTATCCGACCGCACACTCAAATCTTCGTAGGATTCGATCTTCCTACGTAAATTTAGGATCCTTATGATTACATTATGAATTACGGTTCATTAATTAATTTGTTGGTGGACTTACAAAAAAAAAGAAAGAAAAAATAATTAGAACAAGTAATTTTCTTTCTCTCGAATGAAGTGAATTTATAAAAATTAATCAGAAGAGACTTTCCTCCTGAAAATGTATATGTTTACAATGTACTAATATAAGGCAGTCCCATACTAGTAACCTAATTATTACTTATTAGTGTTGTAAATATATGTGTGTGTGGAAATAATTGAAATCTTAAGAATGGACCAACGAAAAATGTTGTTGGCCAACGTCTGAAATAGAGATGGACCAAAGAAGAGAGATGATGGCACATGGTAAAGGAGTTGGCAGAATGTGAAGAATGGATAGGATGATATGGACTATGGAGTTATATAAATAATATGGTTTATTTTGATTTTAAAAAATGTAAAGTGGTGTATGTGTCTATAGAGTGCAGTTGTTTTCAATAACATGGTCTTCTTTTGTTTGGTTATAGTGAGGCAAATTGATTTGAGGTGTGATCGAGTGGCCTCTATATAGAGGGAATCTATAAATAGTGGTTTTGTGGTCGTACTCGTACGCATAGGCATATCAATATCCATGTCCATGTGAATGTCACATTCATCTTTGTTGTACATGTGGTGAAGATGACTAACTATGAAATTTTATCTATCCTCTTTCTGAAAATAAGTGAATCTCTTGAATCTTAAGAGTTAATTAAAAGTACGAACGTTTTCACATTTAGAATCGAATTAGTATAATGATCTAACATCATTTTCATAGAAAAACTGAACTTTACTCAGTCGAGATGTTCAAATTCAATCAAATTGAACTGATTTGTCATTTTGAAACGACTTTTCATGTAATCCCTTAGAAATTATAGGTGACATCAAAACAAACTAAATCAAAAGACTTAACATTATTTGAAATGTAGTATAACTGAAAACATAAAACCAATCTGATAAAAATTCAATTACTCTATTTCACTGATTCAATATAAAAAAATTACTCAGATTTCAGTAGGCCAAATAAAAGAAAAAAACTTAGATATAGCATTCTGATTCAAAATATCAAACGGTCCAAGTAGATATATTGGCATATTAAAGACATATAAATCCGTGGTTGTTATATAGTTTCAAAACCTTTTGGTTTAGGGAATATAAAAACCGGGAAAAGGTTATTGAACCGGCCGGTTAAGCAACAAAATGGGGGAACCCACAATAGAAACTAATGATTGTGGTGGGGGCAGAAGATGCATGCAAATGTAGGTATCACTTGTGACAGGTGAAATAAGGAAAATGATTCATTTTTATAATCTTTGTCTCTTCTTTTTCTTCTCGCAGATTATCTTCGGGAAAACTCCCAAAAAAAACCTAAAGTAATTTTTATTTGAATATTTAATGCCTAATTCTTTTTGATTGGAATAAAAATACCTTATCTATTTATTTGTAGTCTTAAAATACCTCGTATATAAACTATTGGTGGAATCAAACATGTATATAACGACTACAATATATGAGACTAAAATTTAACACCGTTAAAAAATTCCGTTACGCCCGTTAACGGGTGTTAACTTGCATGTTTGATTCCACCAATAGTTAATATACGAGGTATTTTAATACTACAAATAAATAGATAAGGTATTTTTATTCCAATCAAAAAGAATTAGGCATTAAACGTCCAAATAAAAATTATTTTAGGTTTTTTTTGAGAATTTTCCCGATTATCTTCTTCTTTTTTTCTTCACTCTTCTTAATTTTTATATATTTATATTCTCGCTACTTGTCTCTTCTTTTGTCTATTTTGTTGTTCATCTCAAAACAAATTTACCCACGAAATTCAAATTTGAGCCGATTCTTTCTTTTTTTGGGGTTTTGTAGTACAAATCATGACCATTTCTCTTTTTACACATATAGAGTAAGGTATTTATGAATCGCTTTTCCAATGTGACCAATCTAAAATTTATTGCAGGAGATAGTACATGTCCATGTGAAGTTTTCTTTATTATTTCTTCTAATAGTTTTAATTATTTTTCAAAGTAATCTAAAAACAGTGAATTTGAACTTATTTTTAGTTATTCAATTTATTGTATTCTCTATAACTATGAATAGTGAAAATTTTAAATAAAATACAAGATCAGATGTTTTTTTTTTTTTTTTAAAGAAAGGAAATGAAAACACACCAAGGAAGCTATACTGAAAAATAAAATTAAATATCCCATTGATTACAAAATAAGTATTAAACTTTTCTATTAATAACTAAATTATTTACACACCGTTTAACCCTTTTTCATCTATAAACATGAGACTTCAAAACGTAGTCAAGATTAGTCTCACGAAATTTTTGAAATACCAAACTTTTACCATTTAAAGCATTTATTAATCAGTTATGATTTAAATAGCTCATACATAGTAAGAAAAATTCAAATAATTATTTTCAACATTTAACTAGTTTGTAAACGTGTCATCGCCCAGTTATAGTCCAAAGACTCCAAACTAAAAAACTTGGTGTGACTTGTAAACGCAAAAATAATTAAGTCAGGCCACATGTTCTAGATGTCCTGAGCCCATAAAGCCCAAAAAGTAAATGTCCAATAGTCCATATAAATGCCTGACTGTGAGATTAGACTTTGACTATATTAGCTCAACATATTTTTTTTTTTTTTTATAAACCCTATCGGCTATCCGGTCGGCCCCGATAGGAACGCACCGAGGTGCTACATAGTGGACTAGTCCACCGTGTTAACGGTTAGGCCCTTACGGGCTACCACTCTGCCTATCCCGAGTTTGGAATGCCTTCCGACTAAGTGCCAGGGGGTAGTCAGGCCGCCTGCATTTCTGGCTACCATGTAAACCAATTGGGTCAAGGCTCAACTGACAGACTTCCCAAACAAATGTGTTTTTGTTTCCAGGGAGAATCGAACTCAGGTTTAGGAGTTTCATCCTTTCCCAAAGCTTCCTCTGCCACTAGACCACATATGCTTGGACGGCTCAACATATTTAGTTATTTACATATGCATGCATATGAATTTAATTAGTTATTCAGTATTAGTGAAACTAATCGCAATGGTGAAAGCTTTTAATGGACAATAGTTTTATGACGGACCAATTTAAAAATAATATATAAATAACATCTTATATGCAATTCGATGAAGAAATCCTTAACAAAATTTTCTCTATAAAGTCTTTTTTATAAGATTGAAAAGAAAATACTGATAATAAGATTTGTAAAATGATTTCACATAGAAAATCCTATAATTAATAACTAGAGAGAAATGTATTCAATTTTTGTAACAATTATATTTATATGTATCAATATCTACATTTGAGGCCAGAGGGGTCGAAATTAAAATCACTAATACCAAGATATCGGATGCTTCATAAAACAGAAACTAATCACCCTACTATAAAGTCTATAAACAATGATTAGTTAACGAAACAGTCGAAACTAGTATTACAAAGCCGAAACTAGTACTTGATGCGTTGAACCGTACAGTACTGTTTTTAATTACGGACACAATCTTTGATTAATCCAAGGCAAAGATACGGCTTAATGATACACAAATGATGTTCAAGTTCACTGTTACATCTCTAATCTATATAGATATTGAGCAACAAAAATATCAAATAAGAAAATAAATCACATCAATATTATCAAGGAGACAAGATAAACAAGGTTGTCTGGATTATACCAAACATTAAGCATATGCAGTCACGCGAATGTCACGTGTGGTTGGCTGGCTCCACATCTTTTTCATTTGCTACTGTTTTTTTTGTTCCTTCTCATTTTTTTTTTCTAATGACTACAAGTATTTGAAAAATAGTAAATTGCAAGTTTGTGAACAAAAAAAAAAAAGTAAATTACAAGTGGTTTGGAAAACGAGGGAACATGAGCTTTGGAGACAAACACAATTTCAAGGCTTGTCCCTGGTTAATTACTCTTTTTTTTTTTTTTGGCTTCAAAAACATTGCATTATTGGTAATTTCTAGTAACTTATTGAGATTACAACATGTTTGCTTCTTTCTGTTTTTAGTTCTTGAGGTCATTTACCTTAAACCATGTCATTCCATTGAAAAATAAAAAAATCTTTGGGATATTGGATATTATTCATATTCTCAACTTAAGTCTCGAAAAAGAAACGACCCCGCGACGTAACATGTAGTTGAGATATGTCCACATATATAGTTTTGACTTATATATTAAGAGATAAATATATCTGGCAATTCGTGTATATACAGATCAAAAAAATTTCGTCCGTAAATCATAACGTTCTGTCTTGAAACATGACATAGGGAAAAAAGAGCTAGTGTGGTGACCACCGATTAAACAGTTTCCCGTATTCTAAGCTTTGGTATTTGAAATGTGATTAATTGACAAACATATATGGTATTTGTATGATATTTTAAAAAGGTTAACTTGTTTGGTTTAGTGGGGACTTTGAAGCAAGCAAGGCCAGGTTCAAGTTATGTTTGATTGCATGGTGGAACACGAGAAAAGACATGTGGGATTGTGTTTTATATGAACTTGGTTTGATAATTGTTTTAGTTTGGTTTGATTGGAAAAAATTAAGAGTAATAATCAGTAATCATCCCAAGTTCCAATTTTGTTGGCTTTGATGAAGTCATTGATATTTTATTCATTTTGTTAAGTGTTTCTTCACACATTAAAAAAGAAAACTTTTTTTTTATTTTTTTGATTAGTACACTTTTCATATTTTGGGATATACTTAATAATCTCTCTGTTTCACAAAAAGTGTCATTCTAGCATTCTTCACACAAATTAAGAAAAGTAAACAAATTTCATTTGTACCCCTTATTAATACACTAAATAATACCCTCTCTCTAATTAATAAGCTAAAATAGTAGGGATAAAAAAGAGAATTAGTCTTTAAAACTGCATTGAAAACACAAAACGACACTCTTTGTGAAACGAGATTAAAATCTTAAAACGACACTCTTTGTAAAACGGAGGGAGTATTTAAATTTTTTTCTATCAAAACTATAACCCTGCATGCATACCACAAGTTCTCTCTATATATACACACCTCCACTAGTAACTTCTCCATCAAATCAGTTCTCTTCTATCCAAAGCTTATTTTTTGTGCCAAATTAAACAGTTTTGCTTTTTTAGCTTACTCTTAAAAGACAAAAACAAGTCACATTTTTTCCCGTAAAACCAAAACTTTGTCACCTAAATTTTCTGTTCAACGATTATTGTATATCAAACTGGTTATTTGAAAGCTTGAAAATGGAAATGAAGAAGGTCATGATGAGCTCATCAGGGAGATCAAAGGAGAAGAAGAGATCAATAAGTAGAAGATTGGGGAAGTATATGAAGGAACAAAAGGGAAGGATTTACATCATCAGAAGATGTGTGGTCATGCTCCTTTGTTCGCATGATTGATTAAAAAGAAAGTTTTAACAATGCCAAGTTCAAATGAATGCACGTGTGTGTGTGTGTGTGAATGTGGCTTATTAAGTGAGGGAAAGATTAGTGCTAGCTAGGGGCGAAAACCGGTTTGTTTGGTTTTATTTTGTAATCTTTTACCGAATTGTATATATAATGACCTCAACCGGTCGATTCGATGGTTGTTTTTCTTAAAACTAATGCTGTATGCAATCATTTATATATTGATTCATCAATGGTTATTGGTTAAGAGTTCTAACGCATTAATCAGTTGTGATAGACCATCAGATCGATTATCTAGAGATGTTAAATAATCACACTAGATTTAGACTTAAGTTATCGTATTGATCAATAAAACTAGAACTAGTACAAATGGTGAATGATATAAATCACGAATGGTAAAGTCAAATGGTTCCAAAATTACTAAATTATGAAATAGATTAAGATATATATAACTACAAATATTTTTGTGTTATAACTACAAATATACACACTACAAATTTTCAATCCCTTAATTAGTCGTCAAAGATAATGACCTCTTCTTCAAATATATGCTTCTTCTACTGCTTGCAATACCGTCACCATCATTGGAAGAACCCTCTGAATGAGCAAGCAACTTTCCTTTTTGGTTACGGTCCAAGTCATCTTCATCATGTTCGTCATCAGCTACATCATCATCATAATGTTGGTCCCTGTAGCTCTCTTCTGAGGATGACTCATCGCGTGGTGTTTGAAAAATCGTAACACTCTCATTCTCCCTATTTTGGAAAGAGAAGCTTCTAGAACCTCCGCCGTACAAGGGAAGAACATAATCTTTTAACTTAGACTTTGACTCATCTATGTCTCTTCCAAGACTATAGGTCGACGTGAGTTTCCTTCTCACGTTTTCCCTCTCTTGAATTAAATCACCGATTTTATCAACCGTGGATTCATTGGCTGTTGATTCGCTTTGAAGTCTCGTTATCGTTTTATCAATATCTCTACTCTTCCTGTGCAGCAAACGCTGGGAAGAAAAATTGACTGTGAGTTACTGGAAAACAGAAGATTCTTGGGATGTAAGTAACAAACTGAAGTTGAAGATGCTTGTTACACAAGCTAGGGTTTCTTACTCGCTTGTCCAAGAAAGCACTGAAGGGACGATCTTGAAGCTTTTTTTTCTTCCAGAATATAAAACAGAACCTCACAAGAGCCGCAAAGAGGACTATAATCACAAACTCGAACAGTAAAAACCAAATTATCGCTCTTTCGTTACCTAAAAGAAAAAATAGCAGTCTCTCTTAGAGATATGGATGCTCAAGAAAACTAGAAAAGTATTTGAAAAGATACTGGAATTTTAGAGTTTTCAAGTTTAGTTAAATTTTACCAATGTAGATATCAAGATGCTCTGGTTCTGAAAATGAACAACTAGATGATAGCTTTTCGTGTTTAGAACGACATCGAAATGGATTTCCAGAACTAGAGGCTGCAACGAACGCAAGAACAATCCTCTCGTCCAACAGAAAATGTTGTAGATCTTCGTCTAATAACAAACCCAGAATTTGATCTGATACAAAAACGATTATCATCAAATCATAAAAGTCTATATAGGCTTTAAAAGACTGAAAGTAGTCCTAAATCCTAATTAAGACTAGTGTTTTACCAGAGTAACTCTGAGACCAGCAGATAGATCTTGTCTCTGGAACTACAAGTGAAAAGACCGCGGTTTCTGGTTTCTTGGCCGACACATAAGTGTAATCCTCAATGACATGATCGATCTTTCCTTCGAGTTTTGTCTGAGAAACATAAACCGCATAGCCCGAGCAATCGAGTAATGGCTCTATTTGGATCACTGAATCTGTTTCTGCGTTTTTCGGTATCTTATGAAGCTCCCCTGTTCTTGAGAACGAGTACAGTGTCCCATCTAGTGAACCAATCGATGCCCAACCTGTGGAAAGAAAAGAAGAAAAAGATAAAGATCGATCTTACAGGTGAAATTATCTTAATAGATTTGTTAATGAAACTGACTGTTTGAGTCAATGACAGGGTCTGAAGCAGAAGTTTCTGCCAATGGACCGACGGTTTTTTGCCACAGAATGTCGCCAGAAAACGAATCTAATGCGAAAACGAGTGATTTCATAGGAAAAACGACGTAGACTAAACCGTTATTCCCCGGTGTAACAGTGAAGAATCGATCCACTAGACTAAAATCTTGAATCCATTGGTAGTAAGTGCCACGGAGAGATAACGAGTAGAGTTCTCCTTCATTGTTTGAAATCTGAAGAAATTAAACAGAGCAAAAATCAAGAACTCATCATTGATAAAACGTGAATGGAGAATAACAAGAGATAGAGAGAGAGAGATCTTACATAGATGCTCCCTTCGCAAGAATCAATCACTGGTCGAGAATTGAATGTACAGTTATCATAATCTTTTCGACATCCAAGTCGGTATCCGAATCGTTCGATTTTAGGCTCTGCAATCCAGAGTTGCTGCCGAAACATATTATAAGCGTAGAGACCGTGATTCTTAACGGTGATGTAAACGGAATAACTCGATATGCTAACCGCGAAACCAAGAATCGTTTCACCGGGATCGAAGAACAATTCCGGTTCAGATTTGGTTCCGTTTCTTGGGAAAATAACTCTCAGGATACGATTTTCTGCAAGAACAAGCATCTGAAAAAACAAACATCAGTTTAAGAAACAGAGGAAAAAAACAAAAACAGAGTGATTGGAATGTACAGTACCTGCTTGAAACCAGAGTAAACCGGGGAAAAATCGGTGTTACATTTGAAATTCATGTGTACCGACCAAGCGATTGATCCGTTAGACTCGAAGGAGAAGAAGTCGTTGTCGGAGCAAGCGTAGACTCTGCCGTCATCGCCGATGAGTGTCTTCGAGAGAATTCGAACAAATTTCTTAGTCGCAGTTTGGTCTGGAGATTTTGAAATAACGCTATTATATTGATTTTGCGGAAAACTATTACTGTCAAATGTGGCGGGAGAATGAATTTACCTTGTAATTGAGAGACTGCGGAGAAGAAGACGAAGAAGAAGGGTAAGGAGATATGTAAGAATCTGAAAGTCCCCATTGTTGCAGATTTTCGCAGAGAGGTGTGCCACCGAAATTAGGGTTTATTCGATAACTGATTTTTTCTTTTTTTTTGAACAAATTTTGATAACTGAATTTTAAAGAATTTTGATAGAATTCTAAAACCAATAAATTGAATAACGCTAGATTTAAGTAGAATTCTAAATTCGGTCAGATTAATCCTAAACTTCTTCGATGCAAAAAAAAAAAAAAAAAGGGAAACAGCTAGGGTTTATCAATGTATTTGACTTGAGAGTGACGCAAACTTTAGAAAATAGAGAGAATTTACCTTTTAGAACCGAAACCACATGGAACAAAGAGTACCGCTTGTGACAGTTACTACAGAGTCACACACTGTGCCGTTTATGGATTTGGAACAAAAAATGCAAGCCATTCAGCCAATTTTTTATCAAAAATGTTGGGAGACGGTTGGAAGATCTGTGATAAGATTTGTGCTTGATTTTTTCGCGGCGGGTGTTCTTCCACCGGACACTAATGATGCCCTAGTGGTGTTGATAGCAAAGGTCGCTAAGCCGGAGAAGATCCAGCAGTTTCGTCCTATTAGTTTGTGTAATGTCTTATTTAAGACGATTACAAAGACGATGGTTTTACGCCTTAAACGGGTGATTTCAAAACTAATAGGACCGGCGCAGTCAAGCTTTATACCAGGGAGGCTGAGTATCGACAATATTGTAGTGGTACAGGAGGCAGTACACTCGATGAGAAGGAAAAAAGGTCGAAAAGGTTGGATGTTATTAAAACTAGATTTGGAGAAAGCATACGATAGAATCCGGTGGGATTTCCTGGAGGACACTATACGGGCAGCAGGGTTTGAAGAGTGCTGGGTACAGTGGATTATTCAGTGTGTAACGGGACCTTCTATGTCAATTCTCTGGAATGGGGAGAAAACGGATGCTTTTAACCATCTCGGGGCTGCGTCAGGGAGAC